CGCTCCAGCGGCCGCGCGGGGCCTTCCCCGCCTCCCCGCGCCTCGCGCGCTCACCTGCCCACGAAGTTCTCGAGCACCGAGCTCTTGCCGGCGCTCTGGCCGCCCACCACGGCGATCTGCGGCAGCTCCAGCAGGCAGCTCTGTCCCAGCGCCGAGAAGGCGTCCTGCAGCCGGTTCACCAGCGGGATCAGCTCCTCCATCTCCCGGTTCCCCATCTTGCCTGCGAAGCGGGCCGCCGGCGGGTCCCTGCTGACCTGGCGGGGAGCCGGGGCCGCGCTGCCTCCCGCCGCCGCGGCCGCGCGCGTTCAGTCAGTTAGCCGGCCTGGCCCCCACAGACGCCAGACCCGCAGCCCGCCGCCGCCGCTCCACTGACAGCTAACGGCCCGCAGCACGCCTGCGCGGGCGGCGGGGGAGTGGCCTAACTGGCGACCGCCCCGCCTCCAGGCCGCCCCGGCCACCGCGGCCTCGTCTCTGCGGCTCAGAGGCGAAGTTAAGGCGCTCAGTCAGAGCAGGGCGTGAAAACCCCCGCACCCGAGTCACTGTTCCCTTTCAGCAGCTACAGAGCCAAAGTCCAGTGCAAAGCACGACCACCGACGCCAGCGCAGCAGCGGCACCTCCGCCTTTGCACCAGGGCGCGGCGGCCACAGCGCACCTCTCAAAAGGGGACCTCGAGTCCCTACGCCTCTCCAAAACCCGGCTCTTCTCGGGTGGCCGGCCTGCTGGAGTCCGAATTCTGCAGTCTGACATCCGTTGCAGGCCCTGCGTAGTCTGACCCCGCAGAACTGTTCAACTTAAACGCCTCCGTCCTCCCAGCTGGGCTAAGCAAAGGACAGTCCACCGTGCTTACCCCGCACCACTGCCTCTCCCCGATCTACCATACTCAACTGTCCTTTGCGACTCCTTTTGCGGTTTCTCCTCCCGATCTATCTCCCTCTGAAGGATCTATCAATAACCGTGTACTCGGCACCCATGCTGTTAAATTAACAAATTGAGAAGTTATTGTGGCTGCTGATGGACACGCAAAGATAAACGGTCATGCTTCTCTTAGCCTCCTCAGACGGTCGCTCTTTCGAAATATCTATACTCATGACTTAATTCACGGGCCTTTTCTTGGTACCAGAGAACCTTCCTATGGCTTTAACTGCACATGATGGCTAGCGACAGAAATCTAAACTGCTAATCCATCTCTCTTTCCTGTGCCTTAGAATGTACTCCCAACTGGTCCAGGACCTCACTACTGAATTTCCCAAAATTACCCCTGACATAACTTACTCAGAACTGAACTCATCTTCTCTATTCTCAGCATTTAATGCTATAACTTTCCCTCTAACATGATAAAGACTTAAATAAAGCTGTCCAAAATAATCAATAAACTAAAAACAACTCAAATGTCCTTACAAAAGTTGAATGAATGAGCAAATATTACTTTGCATTCAGTGAGATATTCTCGGGAACAAAAAGGAATGAACCTCTGAATACACCAACAATATAGCTGAATCAGATACTTTAGGTGGAATCAAAGAAGCCCAAGAGGACATATTGCAATGCTCCATTTATACAAAGTTCTAGAATAGACAAAACTATTCTCTGTTGATAGTAACCAGAGCAGTGGTTGCCTTTGAGGAGTGGGGATTAATCTCTGTGGAATGGAAATGTTCCATATCTTGATCTGGATATAACTATACATTTGCAGAAGTGCAACCAACTAAACATTTAAGATCTGTGCACATCACTGTAAATTATACCCCAATTTTTTTTAAAACAAGAGACAAAACTGAACACATCATATTCTCCACTGAAGTGATTCCTGATGAGAATGTCTGCCCAGCATGCCTTTTCAAAGAATCATCCCTCCATCCATCACGTGGGTATAGCCAGAGTGGTCATGAAGATAGAAAAGCATAAAGAGCAATTCATGTGCTCCTGCTCTCAGCAAGAGGCCCACTCAGTCCCCGTTCAGAATCTGGAAGTCATTCTAACTCCCTTTCCTTCTCTCTCTCCCTCATCCCCTACATCAAGTTGATTCCCAAATTATGCCCATTCTATCTCCCTGGAACCCCTATCCTCCCCATCTTTGCTGTCAGTGCCTCATAACTATCATTTATTGAACAACCACTTTCTTCTTTGCTTCCCATGTATATTTATGCACCCTGAATAAATTTTCATTATTGCCCTTGGCACATTGCAGTGAGTCTGGTTTACAGGTCTCTCTCTGCCACAAATTGATAAGCAGAATAACACCCCCCACCAAAGATGTCCCCATTCTAATCCCCAGGACCTGTGAATATGTTACCTGACATGTTGAATGGGACTTTGCAGATGTGATTAAATTAAAGACCCTGGGATGGAGGAGCATGCTGGATTATCTGAATGGACCCAGTCTAATCACATTGGTCCTGAAGAATAGCAAGCCTTTCCCAGCTGTGTCACAGGGGGACATGACTACAGGAGAATGCTCACACAGGTGCCACTTTGCTGGCTATGAAGATGAAGAAAGAGGGGGCCAAGAAATACAGGCAGCCTCTAGAAGCTGGAAAGGCAAGGGAACAGATTCTCCCCCAAGAGCCTCCAGGAGGAGCACCGCCCTGCTGACACATTGATTTTATCTCAGTGAGACCTGGGTCAGACTTCTGGCCTACAGAACTCTAGTAGATTTGCATTGTTTAAAACCACTAAGTTTGTGGTAATTCATTACAGCAGCCCAGAAAACTACTACAACTAATGGCAAGCTCCTTGAAGGCAAGATCCATCTTTGTGATTCTCAATGCCTAGCACAGTGCTTAGCACCTAAGAAGACCACAGTCTACTGGGGACAGACATGAACAAGTCATACAACACAATGTAATCAGTCTTCCCATGGAGCTAAGGACTGAATGGTGTCTCCTCAAAATTCATGTCTATTTGAAGTAAGGTTAAGTGAGGTCTTAAGGGTGCAGCATTGATACAATAGGATGAGAGTCCTTTAAGAAGAGACACTAGAGCACTTGCCACTTGCTCGCTCGCTCTCTCTCTCTCTCTCTCTCTCTCTCTCTCTCTCTGCCATGTGAGGACACTGAAATGGTAGCTGTCTGCGAGCCAGGGAGGGAGTCCTCAACAGGAACTGAATCAGCCTGCATTTTGGTCTGGGACTTCCTAGCCTCCAGGATTTTGCAAAAATAAATTTCTGTTGTTAAAGCCACCCAGTTTATGATATTTTGTTAAAGCAGCCCAAGCTAAAACACATTTGTTTAAAGGAATATGGTGTGAAAATCAGAGAGTAACAATTCCATTTGGAGAGGGTCATGGAAAATTTGAGAGAAGAGGTGACTCCTGAGGTGTGCCTTGGTAAGTACATCCTGCACTCTGCTATGTGCCATAGGAACACAGAAGAATCGGAAACTAGCCCTTGCTCCAAGTCTCTTGCATTCTAATGTAAGAGACAATGCTACCATGCATTAGAGAATGCATAATTATTATATAAATTTGAATTTCATGTGCACTGAAGCAATGCGTGTCATCTCTGTTCTCCAGAATCCCACCCACCAACTTCAAGAAACCACCCTGAGCTATCCTTGCTAATTACTTTCCTTTACTTCCCATTTCCAGAATCAGTTCTGTGATAATGTAGAAACAAGAGAAACCTAACAGACACCCTCAACAATCTCTTCATATAAATTAATCTGGATGAAACAAATAATAAGGGGAAAATTGACAGGAAGACAACCTACATCTTTGGGGGTGGGTGTAAAGCTGAAAAGGGGAGCCTGGTTAGCTGTCCCTGCTTCCTGACTGTAGCACACGATCACCTCAGCTCTGTTTCCGAGCCAAGTAATTACTGCCAACTCCTGCTCTCTATCACACTTGTTTCCACCTTCCTAACAAGATAGAAGATTCCTAAAGGTTAGCAGCCCTTTTTAGGCCTGGCTTGCTATCTAAGATGTTAGAACTTTTTATGAACACATCCATAATTCTTATTTTGAGAAGCATTTTGAGAAGTAACATGCTGAATGCAATAATGCTGCATTTCACACGCTACCAGTGGAACTCCTGTTTTGAAATTAATAAGCCTTATCCAAAATATCAGACTTGGTTTTCCACAGTCACACATCATTTTAGAGTAACAGGATATTATCCAGGTTGCTCTCCTACCTCATTCATAAAACTTGGTGCCACATAACTTTTGGCAAATTCTAAATATTAAATCTACATTATATGTATGTGTATGTATATACATGCACACATGTATATATGTTATATAAATATATTTTTAAAATATGAAGTTGAAAGGAAGCTCTTTAAAATATGAAGTGAAGGAAGGCTGTAAGAGAGGGGTTAGACAGTTTTTGAGTTGTAAAAACATCTCTGGAAAAATACTTCTCAAAGAAGGGCACATACTTGAATATATGAATTTTGGAATTCATGTTTTTGAAAAATCAGTCACATTACTGTAGAATCACATCTCATATATTTTCCACTGTGCCTAGCTCAGTAATTAATAAATATTTATAAAGCAGAACTATAAGCATCTGTTGTATCATCCATTGTAAGTACCACCAGGTAAATGATACTACTACAGTACTCGGTACAATTTAGGACCTATTTAAGTCCTTCAGTTCTTTCTCCAAAGGTTATCTCTTGGATGGGTTTTAGATCTTACTGCAAATCAGTTTGTATGCAGGTATCTTTTGAGTTCTTTGAACCCTGTGAACATCCAATACAGATACACAGACTTTTACCACAGAAGCCATTTTAGTTGATACATCTCAGAGCTTCTCTCCTTCAGCCCAGAGGAGTGCTCAGAAGGAAAAGGCTTTCCATTTTATTGCCCATATTTTTCATCAGCTGTTATCAGGAAGCAAAATAATAACTCTGGAAGAACCATTTCAGTCTCCCACCCCTATCACTTCTGTCAATTCGACATCTGACAGATGGAAACTCACCAAGTAGTCTCATGGAAGCATTGCTAAGTCCACACACATGCAGAGCAGAAAATACTGATAGGCAAGCTTAAGGTGTTAAAACAGAAGGATTAGGAAGAACTCACTACACCACTTATGTCTGATTTAACAGCTAGTTCAGGCTTCCTTCTATCAGACATAGCTGTGTTTTGCTGTAAGCATGATCCATATGTATTGAAACAGAACAGGAATCACATAGGATTCCATTTGAAAGGAAGGAACCCTAGTGCTTTTTAAACTCTCATTTGTTGTATTGTGAATCTCCATAAATTATAGAAAGAGACTGATTACATATTAATTATATTATTAATAAAAATATTATACATTAATAATATATATCTTAGGTAAGATAAATGGCCATTTAAAAATGTGTTTATGAAGATTTTTCACCGACAGAGCAATGCTTTAATAAAATATTTAAAAGGGTACAAAATTGTATACATAGTGTCATGTCTA